GGAAGGCTGGGCAGCTTGTTGTTGGCTGGCAGGCTGGGGCTGGGCTGGGGGCAACTGCTGTTGCTGAGGCTGCCCCTGCCCTGTGTTGTATGGCATGCTGTACATCTCTCCTTCATGCCGCTTGGCAGGAGGGCAGTATGTGCCATCCATTGACCGCTTATAATTCTAAAACAGACAAGCAGAAGAGAAGTTAATACTCGACAAGGACACAAGACTACTGTGGAGCCACAGATGCCACGAGGGTTTATAATCTGACACTTGCTTGGTTTACAGACATATAATTGCTTACTTCTGCCCCTCCAGAAGAAAAAGGCCCAGAGAAAAAAGGAATCACCTTTACTAATTATCTTTTGAAATGGATTTTAAAAGCACATTCTCTTTTCCTCTTGACTGTCCCTCACTCTAAGTATAAACATGCATTATCTGGGTAAGAGAATACCACCAAAGTATACAAAGTGAGCTTCTCAAGATTTTCCAACAGATTAGATTAATTAACTAGTTTTCAAAGAGATTCTGTCAGTCTTTCCTCACCTGCTGCTGCTGCTGATACATTGTGGTCTGCTGGCTAGGGAAGGGGCTGCAGGAAGGGGTGCCTTGGGTAGTGAACTGATTGCCATAGGAATCATGTCATTGCTGCTGCTGCTGTTGCTGTGGAGGATAGCGGCTAGGAGAGTACATCCCCGAATCTGGGTTGGAAGGCATGAGATTCGGTTGTGGGGCCCCAGTGCCCATATTTCCCTCAGGTCCTATTCCAGGCTCAGTCCTATACAAAATTTGAGAAGCAGACTGAGTTGACCTTAACCGTCAGGTGCTTGGAGGCAGAGGGGGGCCAGGAATAGGGTTCATGCTTACCTTACTCTGTCATAAGGACCTCCATAAGGGTAGTGCTGTCGTGGTCCCATTGCCACATTCCCCAGCCCAGGGCCAGCAGCACGGCTGTAGGGGTCCCCCATCCCACCATTTGGGCCTTGTCCTGAGGACATGAAGGGATCACTCCCTGGAGCTGAGTGTAGAAAGAAAAGTTGGTCAGTAGGCCTAGTCATCTACACCTTGCTTGCAGGGCCTAGAGTACCAAAGAAGCCTTGCCTGACCTGAAGGTTTTTCCATTATCATCCTGACAGATTAAAAACAGACTCTAAAAATACCTAAACAACAAAAGACTTTGTTGTTAAAAGGCGAAAAGGTGAGGTGAATGAGAAGGAGACAAGAAAAAAGTAGAGATGAAGAATGACAATTAGGCTATGATTAAGAAATGCCTAATCTCAGAGAAAGGATTGATAATCAGCCCTAAGCCACTCTGAAAAGATATTCCCACTTCCCTGGCCCTGTTTTCAATAGCACAGGGTTAATGTTCATGGTCACCTTTTCTCATGCTGCCATAAGGATCCTTATTTGGCTCGTAGGACATGCGCCCCATCATGTCAGAGGTATTCATACTGGGCTGATACCCAGGGTTTGGAGTCATGGAATTCCGCTTCTGGAATGTGGGGTCACTTCCATCAGGAAAGGCATCCTGGATCCCAACTGAATTGCTCCTGCTCCAGAATAAGGAAACCAAATAAATGCCAAATTAATCTAGCACAGAGCTCAGAATGGTCAACTAGCTTATAGTCAGACAAGGGGCGAGCCTAGGGCTGAACAGGAGCACTCATACACCTCTCGAGAATCCTTAAATCGTCCGTCTCAACTCCTGACCTCACCTCATGCCAGGCATCGGGGGGATCTGACTGTGTGGTGTAGATGCCGGAGTTGGTGGCTTCAGGTCACTTCCTTCTGCCATGGAACTGCTGGTTGACTGAGGAGTCTGTGGCCCCTGCATAGACCCTGATCCAGCTGTGGAAAGAGATGTGATATGAGCAATCTGCTTGGCAGGAAGGTAGGTGTTTAATCCTCACAAAAAAAACCCCACAAATGCTCTGAGGAGTCTGTGGAAAATATCTTCCTAAGGCTTAAGAAGATCAGGACCCTTTGAGCTTAAATAACCTTTCTCAACAGAGGCTATGAAAGGTTACATAATAAAGCAGAAAGTTCTACTGCTTCTTGCTGTTATTTTACATGTGGAGAATAATCATGATGAGAAGATACCACTATCAACCTGGCAATTCCTTCAATCACTGCCAGCTTTGTTGATTATGTCTCTGTATTTCCATGGGCCTGTTAAACCTTGAAATGCCGGTGTCTCCATCTTGCTGCAAACTTGAGGTACCCTTTATGAGCCCAGAACCGTCTATTCCCAAGGAACCAGCAGTGTTACTACTCAAGTTCCAATGTTCCTTTATTCTGAGGACTACAGAACTACCAGTAATTAATGTTTCCATTAGTTACCATTCCCAGCACCAGATATCCCACTGCTTAGGTCTCCCCAGCTGATGAGTCATCTCAGGCACTCATTATACCCACAGAGGTCAACACCAGGGCACGTGTGTTTACACCCACCTTCTAGGGCTCTGGCCTTCTTCCCTCCCAACATCACGCAGGCTTCAACCCCTTCTCAGAAAGGAGGGTGGGCAGAGGAACTCCTATTGGAGAGCTCCATTCATATCCCTTCCCCACCCCCACCTTCCCCATTCATTACTAATCGCAGCTCCCTAGGGAATTCAAGGAGCTAGTCTGAACACTGCATTCTAAGGCGCTGAGATCAGTGGGCCAAAACTCCCAGATGGCCCTGCTCCATTGCCATTTGTCAGTTCTCACCACTCCTTGAATATCCCTCCCACTCACTAGTTTACAAACATTTGGCTAGATGCCAGGTGTACAATGAAAATGAAAACTTAAGGGCTGCTGCAGACTACTTCCCAGGGGAGTCAGCAATACCAATTTTCCGTCTCCCAACCTGCAAAGCTCTATGGCAGGATGGGGTAAAAGCACCACTGAATAAGGATTCTAAATCCTTGAAGGTTACCAATGCAATCAGTTCTCAGCCTTGGCTGGACCACTCAAGTCATCCTACCAGGAGAAGGAGGCTGGATCTTGGGCTGGGACTTCTTTGAATCAGCAGCTGCAAAGATGTCTGGGGGAGGGTCTTCTCCCCGTTCAATCTTGCACTCAAAGGCATAGAGACACTGGATATACTGCTTTTTCAAGGAGCTGGCAGCACTGCTTGAGGTGCCCACATTGAGGTTAGTTGCAAGTTCCCGCCATTTTTTGTTCTTGTTGACCTGTACAATAGAAGAGTCCATCTGGTCATTCTGCCAAGCCCACACACACTGGGCTCCCAAATTCTAATCTATTGTCAAACTAAAGTTTTCAGTTAACTTTGAAAGTAACCACTTGAGGGGATAACAAATATTAAGTCTATGTATTTAATATTTATCCTAATAAATATTAAACTATCTATACCATAAAAAATGCTAAATACTTATTTGGCTTTCACTATACTCTCAAAAAAATGAAAATTCATTGCTGTCTAGTTGCTTCTATCTAACTCAGTGACCATCAACCAAGCTTCCAAGGCTATAAATCTTAACAGAAGGAGAAAGATTGCCCTCTTTCTCCTGAGGAGCCGAGTGCTCTTTTGGCTAATACTCTAAGGATTATAACCCCCGGGCTCCTCAGGGGCTGCTAATCACAAATCATTGCAATTACTAGGCAGCATGTGTTCACATAAAGGTAGATTTCACTTCACTATTAAGAGGGAACAGGTAGCTCAGATGGCCTAGTAGGTAAGGAGTTGAGTTACCAACTTAGAGGTACGTGGTTTGAATTTACCAGATGCTCCTCAGAAGAAAGATGGGCAATTTCCTATTGTGCGATTTATAGTCTCTGAAACCCCACTGGAAGATCAGCTCTGAGTGCGATACTATTTCACAGCAATGACTTATTGATTGGAGATAATATTTAGAAAATGTGGTATTTACACAAGAGTATTAAAAAAAAGGCACATAAACGAACTCGAAAATAAAATTCTATTTTAAATGCACCAATAAAAAAACTAGTCTTTTCTGTTTATCAGGTGATCTAGATGCTTTATATACATCAATGTATTTAATCTGATGTGAAGGTACTATTCCTTTTTTTTTAAAAGATGATGTACAAACAGAACAATTTACTCAGTTGCACCCTCGTGGATGGCTGAATTAGACTTTAAACTAAGGCTGCCTGCCTCCAGAGAGTTCAGACTCTAGCCACTACACTGAAATACTTCCTCCCTTCCTTTATGAGAAATACTTTTGTCTAGTGATGACGGTTATGGTTATTATCAACTACCACCCGCCTGACTTGGTTTGGTAAATTAACTTTTCTCAGCACGAGACATCCTACAATCTGACATATTTGTTCCACTGTTCCCTTGCAAATAGTGACAACATGCCCCCTTTACCTCACTAGTCACAGAACTAACTATCCAGGAGACAACTAAGGCCACATACATCATCTTCTGTGCTTTCTGGCAGCCAGCCTGTGGTTTGGTCTCCTTCCTTTCCTCAGTTTCAGGGTACAGTGACCATTTCCCAAGTTTTCCCTATAATCAATCCTTCTGTTCCAATTGGGCAAGTGTCTCCCTTCATGTACTGCTATATATTAAGCATCTCCTGTGTGGTAAACCTGTCCTCTAGGAGTTATAGCTAATAGTTTTTTATTCCTAATCTACAAAGCAAGTTCTGTTAGCAGAGAGAACGACAAGAAAGCCTGTAGAGAGGACAATCTAGACAGAAGGGAGGTAACTAGAAATACTTCTTAGACTGGCCAACACTTGGGTAAGTCTTTAAGGTTAGAGATGGCTCCTTCCATAGAAACATTATTAATCATTCAGAAAAAAACTTACATATTTTGCTTTCCCGCAGTCTTCACTAACTTGTAAGAATACTCTTATGAACACCCTCAGCCTTTAGCATTGAAAGGTTTACATCCTTTAGTTAAATGGGACCAAGTCTCTAAATTCCCTCCTTGCCTCATACTAGATTAAGTGACTCAAAAGGCCACCAAACTGAAAGTAAGCTAAACTTAACCTAGTATCCCTAAGAGAATGAATACCAGAAAGACTGGCAGGAATAAGCTCAGGGTCACCTCAGGAGCCTTCTGTGGCTGTATTTCCCACACCAGTTATATGGTAGTGTGCACGTGTTCAGTTTTGTTTTGTTTTCCTTTGTGGGGGAGGGGAGTAAAGCCTGAAGGGAGAAGGAATTCATAACTTGACTGTTGGCTGGCTTCATTCCAATCACTTTCTTTTTTCTGCTGGTGACAGCTGTTTTCCTCTTGTGATTTAGAAGATTTGGAGTAAGTCTCTTCCCGCCACGCCTACCCGAGCTCAGCCACAAACCCTGACCCAATAGCACATTCTTGATCTAGTGACTCCAAAAAACACACAGGAGGAAAGAGCATGTAAGGCAAACTATGCTGATTGTCAGACAGTGTTACCTCATTTGTATGCTTCCTCAGCTGACATTAAAATAAAACTATAAGGTTATCAGGACAGAGGCATAGCTCATGGGAGTCTGTTTCGGAAGTTTTCAGTAGGAAGAATCTATTCATGGAAACTTTGTATGTGAACTAAACAAATTCTTTACCTACTTTTTCCTCTATTAACTGACTTCTATTTAATAGCTACTGTAATCCATTTCCACTAAAAAGTTTCCTAGATTGAAAGGTTTCCTTGCCCCTATACCACCTTTCTGGTATGCATTGTGAACTTACCAGATGTTCCATGGGAGAAAGATAGGCAATCTTTTGTGTGATTTATTGCCTCTGAAAGCCCGCTGGAGGGTCAGATATGGGTTGGTTCTGACTTAATGGTACACCACCACCACAACAACATACCACCTTGCAGGCTAATTTTATGTGGCAGAAACATTGCCAGAGACTTCTACTGCCTAACTTTTGCAGATTGGTGGGGTAAACCTTGTCCTTATGTTATAAAGAAAGCCAGCTAAAACTTAATAATCACTTGATTAAGATTACATACATTGCCAGGGGCTAAGGAAGGATTCAAAACCAGGCTCATTTTTCCAAGCCCTTCCCCTCTTGTCTATTATTATGTCAAACTACTTCCTATGGAATCAGACAGTCTTTTTCTTACATCCACTGGGTAACTAAATATTTCATTATACCAAGGAGATTTTAGCCTTTCACTTTATTTCTGAAAACCCTGTGTACTATAGCCTACCAACGAGAGCACGAGAGGGTAATGTAATGCCAATGAGTACCTAAAGAATGCTGCTGAACTCATAGAGGAAACCAAGTGCACTCACCTGAGTCAATCCACCAATCTCCTTCACAGACACATAGAGGCGATAGAGGTCCAGAGGTTTCCTGCCCACAGCAGGCAGGTTTGTCATTCCCATGGCCTTCTCTTCTGTGAAGGCCAGATAACGGTCTACCCACATTTTCCTCTCAGGCTCACCACCTAGCTCATACAATTTAGTAATCTTCTCATTAGTTGTTGTAGAGGAACTGGATTTCTGAAAAAAGTAGGTCAAATTCATAGACATGGGTTAAAGTCAAAGCTATGCTAAGGGTCTCAGAAGTTTCTTGATTGGATTAACGGTTTTTAGTCCAAGATGGTTACTAGTAATACATACCCAGCTTTCACAAAGCTGAAGGGCTAAAAGATAGCCAGATTTCATTTTCACAGAGACACTTAAAAGACTATACACCATGTACTGGGTGTTGTGTTACACAGATGTGTAAAGACACATTATGTAAAGACATAATAGGTATTATAAACTATCACTATTTTTAAAGATAAGGAGAAGAGCCTCAAGGAATCACTGTCCATGATTTTAGATCTTTTAACTGGCCGGGATAAATATCAAATCTTCATCCATTAAACACTAAAGCCACTACTAACACCAAATTACTATCCAGGAGCCTGGATACACTTTCATAGAAACACAATTTTAAAATCTCAAATGTGCTTTTCAGACAAAGAGTGGACTAAAGAAAAAGCAATTCTTCAAGAAAAGGTGACTTTCTCATTTGGTTGAAAGTTTTTAATTATACTAAGAAGAAGGTTGAAAAGACCTGGAAGCCAGAGTTGAAGATCTACAAGAGGTATCAGCTATGATTTTTACTTTACAGAGACAGGAAATGAGGCATGGTAAAGGACAAAAGTGTTTTAAATGACTCAGGTGTTTAGAAAGTTTCCAAAGCTCTCAGAAAGGTTTTAAGACAGCATATCCAGGACCAATCAGCAGTTTAGTCATGAATAGCCCCAAACCCCACCACTTGTTTCATCTCTCCTTAAATATAACACAGTATATGCAGGACACTAACCATTCCTGCAGCTATACATAAGGCCCTGGGAAAGAGGAGCAACTAGGAGCCCATGGCATACACTAACTGATGGTTTTAAGAACATTATGTATCATTTAAATCATGATCTCTTAGGCTAATGTCAAACCTAATTCAATTAGTTATTATCCTAGGACTCTTCAGGGTAGTAAAAGGGAAAGGATAGGATTCAGGACATTAACTTATTACCTTGGATTTGGACTCTGTCTTGGGTGTCCCATCTGCCTTATTGTTCATTTTTGTGGCTGGGGTTAACTTGACATCACCAAGGCCCATCATCTCTGGACTGGCTGCCATTCCTAGAAAAGTGAAAAAGAAATCTCAAATCCAATAGGATTAAATGTGACCAAAAGATCACATTGGAAAATATACCTGAGGTTGGCAAAGACTAAGAGTTACCTGCTGAATTATTGGCCATGGTTCCACCCATGGGATATGGGGGTCCCTGAGGGTTGATCATACCAGCCATACTATTAATCCCTTGTCCATAGGGAGATCCAGTTCCCATCATGCCCCCTTGATTCATATTAGGGTAGCCTGGTGGCCTGAGAAAAAAGATGGAAAATGAGGCAGGAATTGGAGATACAAAGGGTTCAGATTTAGACTTCAGCTAAATGGTTCTGTGAGCCAAAATCATATAGTTAAGTTCTTATCTCCCTAAAACAAGAGCTGCATTTTTATCATCCTGAAGTTCTTCCAAAGTCACGTCATTAGAGTCAATACTCAGGGAGCTCTGGTGGCCTAGTGGCAAGAAACTGTCCTGCAACCCCAGAGATACACGAATCCACCAGGTACTCTGCTGGAGAAGGCAAGACAATCTCCTCCTGAACCAGGCAGATCCAATTTGATGGTACACACACACAAATTAAAAAACAACAACAAAAACACACACACACAAAACCAAAACCCCCAAAAAACTTAAGAGTCAATCCTCATAATTTACCCTGGTACACAACATTTTAATAAGATTTCCTTTAGTAACTGAAGTCACCAACAATTGGGTGCACAGAGATGAGCCTCGAATAAAATGGGCCACTGAAACAAGAGGCCCAAGGAGAAGAAATAAAGGCATGCAAACAACAACAAATGCTGGTGAGGTTGCAGAGAAACTGGAACCCTTATTCACTGATGGTGGGAGCATAAAATGGTGCAACCACTGTGGAAGGCGGTATGGCGTTTTCTCAAAGTTGGAAATAGAAATACATTTGACCCAGAAATTCCACTACTGGGAATATACTCTAAAGAAATCAGAACTGCTACCCAAGCAGATATATGCACACCCATGTTTATTGCTGCTTTGTTCACTGTAGTAGAGGTGGAAATAACCCAAGTTCCCATCAACAAATGAATGGATAGAGAAGCTGTGGTATATTCACACAATGGAATACTATGCTTCACTGAAAAACAAGGAACCCATGAAATACACAAAATGGTGGCCCTGGAGGACATTATGTTGAGTGAAATATCTCCGTCACAAAAGGGCAAATACTGCATAGTGTCACTGTTGTAAAGCAGGACTGACATTGGAGTTGGGGGGAAACTAAAAGGGGATAAATAGTGTATACTGCATTGAAACAGGTGAGGGAGAGAACTGTTAGGAGGAATATATGATCAGGTATTATTGTCATGACAAGAGTCTAGAATGAAAACTGCACAGTGGAGTGAAGTGGACTGGGAGGTAAGACTGTATAACAATGAAATAATTTTACTTTTCATAGCGATTGAGATAATTAAGAGTTTTAGTTTGCTTGGCTCCACAGGCAAGTACTCTTGGCACCAGGAGCCAGAAAATCAAGAGACTATTGCATTGGGAAAGTCAGCTGTCAGGGACCTCTCCACAGTACTAAAGAACAATGATGTAAGGCTGGAGACTTAGGTGCGCCTGATCCGGGCTATTGTTTTCACAACTGCATGAAATTGGAGAGCTGGACAGTGACTAGGGATGATAGAAACAGAACTGATGCCTTTAAGCTGTGGTGCTGGAGAAGAGTGTTGAATACACCATGGACTGCTAGGAGAACAAACAGGTTTGTCCTGGAGAGGGTGAAACTGGGCTGCTCCTTGGAATCAAGGATTCTGACACTTCATCTGACGTACCTTGGGCATGTTGCAAGAAGGGACCAGTCCTTGGAGAGGGACAACATGTTTGGGAGAGCGGAGGGACAGGGCAGGAGAGGAAGACCCTCGATGAAATGGACTGATTATGTGATTGGTATAGTGGGAATATGTGTGTTGGAGAAAATAGGGTTGGCACAGAACAGAGAAGGGTTTAGAGTTCTTGTAGATAGGGTTGCTATGAAAAATGGGGGAGGGGTGGGCAGTGAGGAGAGTGTGCAACTATGAATAAATGAATGGAAATTCAAAGTCTCTTTAAACTTTCATAATTTAAAAAAAAGCAATAAACCAAACGAACAACAACTTCAAGGTATTGAACTAAATCATATGAGCCTTCTGCACAGCATCAGTCAGATGCTCATCATCAGTCAATGAATTCATATCCTTAAAGGACCACAGGAAACAGACAAAATAGAAAATCCTCCATTTCTCACACATATCAAAATAACGTATAGCATTAAGAATCTGGAAGTAAAAAAAAAAAAAGAATCTGGAAGTCAACAAACTAAAAAGAATCTACTTACTTCTAAGATTTACTTTCCTAATTGATATAATCAAGTTAGTTAATTAATTTACATTTGATATTTATTCATGTCAAATCTGACACCAACCTAAGCTGCCATCCAGGGATAAGCACTTCTTTGTGTTTTTCACTGTTGTTAGGTGCTGTTAAGTTGAATACAACTCATAGCGACCCTATGAACAGAAGGTCTGAACCCTGCCCTATCCTGCACCATTCTCACACTTCCTGACTCACAAGAGCCCACTGCAGCAGCCACCGTGTCAGTCCACCTGGCTGTAGGTCTTCCACTCCTTTGCCCTCCACCCTTTCCAGCATCATGTCTCTCTCCTAGGAATAGCCCCTCCTTGTAACATGTCCAAAATAATGAGGCAAAGCCTCATCATTCTTGCCTCCAAAGAGCACTCTGAGTATCTCCCCTTTCCCAATGTAAGAAAATCTAATCCAGAAGAGTTCTCTATAGAAAATCTTCTTTACTAAAGAGAACAAGTTTAACATCCAGAAGCATCTCACTAACCTACCAGAATGACAAATTCTTTATGTTGACACTTTCCATACTTCCCAAGCCTTACCGGTTTTGGATAGAGTTGGCAGCAACATGCATGGCAACAGCAGTTTCTTGAGATTTTCGATTCATGCTCCCTGGGGGGGGACACATCCCTGACCCAACCTGAGGTGGCATATTGGCCATATTTGGGCCATAAGGCCGGTTGCCCATGGAGGCATGACTCATTCTTCCTGGAGGGAGAGTGCTATAAGGAGGGATGCCAGGCTGTCCATGCATTTGACCTCCAGCACCCATAGGGTTCATGCTTCCAGCCATGCCTGCACTGGGGTAGTTGGCATTGGGCAAGGCATTATAATTTGGCTGCCTGGGGTAGCCTCCTGGGAGGAGAACAGAAAAGAAAGAGAGATTTGGTTAACAATTCACTACTTAACTCTCATTTCTAAAACTTTCAAGGTCATAAACATGAAAATCATTCACTGTTTGTTAAGGAAAAAGATGAACTTCATGATGAGCTCAGCAAGTAAAGAGAAGACTGTGAGCCTATCAGAGGCTGATCTCAGTCTTCCTTTCATTTTAAAGACAGTACAAGAGCAAAACTGGCTTTACAGCTATGCAGGTCCTTCAACTCCTAGGGAAATTCTTTTTTTTAAATAATTTTTATTTATTTATTTTTTTATGTGTGTACCGTCAAATTGGATCTGACTGGTACAGGAGGCGATTGTTCCTCCTTCTTCAGCAGAGGATCTGGTGGATTTGAACCGCACACCTCTGGGGTTGCAGTGCAGTTTCCTGCCACTAGGCCACCAGAGCTCGCTGGAAATTCTTTTTCTAGATACTCAGGTCACTTTCTCTCCCATGATCAACACAGGACATTCAGCTTTTAATCACTATAGTCTGAACAAAGATATATCAGGACTTAGTTTTTAACATGTGACTAACCAATAGTTATCCATCTACTAAGCCTCACTTAGAGACAAAAAGCTTGGAGAAGTTAAACTCTCCCTAGTGACAGAATAGGTGGTCTGGGCTCGGTGGTTTCAAGGTAAAAGACAATCCTATTCTTACCAGAAGAGGGTGACATATCAAAGAAGAAACTGGTTTGTTTGTTTTGGTTTTTTCCCCCCTTTACATATACTTTGGCTGTAGGGGGTAGCCTATTTGGGTAGCAAGCACACTTACCTTGTGGGCCATACTGAGCCCCCTGGGGACCATAGCTCCCCATAGAGTTTTGCTGGTAGGAGCCCATGCCTGTGTGCATCTGTCCTCCAGAAGGTTGACGTGGAGATAAGGTTGAACCGGGCTGGGGGGAGCTGTACTGGGGCATTTGGGGGTTTCTTTGCATGTAACCTGTTTGCAGAAATACCCATAAACAATTACTGATGTTTTAAGTAGCCGTATTTAGGTATAATGGAAACAAATGTTCTCTTTATCCTGATACTTGAGCACCAACATTTTCATTATCATCTAATTGTCTGGAATCTCTATCTGATATGTAACATATAGTCATTTATCTTACACAACTTTCTAAAGGGACACAGCCATCAACTAGCTGTTTCTTCTAAATGTAGGTTTGAAAAGACAAAAAGCAATGAGAGAAAACAAAACTGTGGATGATTTAAAGAATGAAGACTCAATATGAGTCTTCTGTACCAAATCAGACACAAACAAGAATCCACCAAACACAGGAAACCAGCTCAACTCAAATTTTACAATTCAAAGCTTAAGCTCTATGGTCATATAGTTTTCCAAAAAGTACACAAAAAATACTCTGGCCTCAGCACCCCAACCTCCCTGGCCTAAAGTCCAGCTCACCTCGATCTTGGGCAATGCTTGACTGATTCATGGAAGGATGCATGATGCTGTCTGACTGGCCACTGGGTGGCCGAGGTGGCATCTGGTTGCCTGTTTCACATAGAAAGAAATAAGCCAATTCTGAACTGGAACTGACTCAGACAGGTCTAGTCAAGGAGTTCTCACTATTGGAATGCTCCACAGACATAAACTGGAAATGCCCTGCCCATGGAAGTGGTAGGCTGGGCTCCCTGATATCTCTGGAGTTTGAATCCCTTTCCCTCCCCTCAAACAAAGCCCAGTAGCACTTGATACCTGGCACTGCAGCAGGCGAGAGTGGTCCTGAGCGAGACTGAGCAACACTGGCGGGAGAGCCAACAGGAGATGGGGAAGGGCCTCGGATGCCAGGCAGGTGAGGGGAGGTATGAGGAGAGAAAGGAGACTGAGCTGGGTTACTCTGCTCTCCTTGGCTGCTGGAAATCCCTGACGTGCTCACTCCAGGGCTCAGAGCTCCTTCTGTCCCCATGGGGAGATCATCTATTGAACCAGATAGATCCTGAAACATATACACACAGGGCATGGATATTAGACAGAAAGATCCCTTTTACAACAATCATACCACATACAGCATTTTCCTTAATCAACAAACATGTTGAACACAATTATCATGACTGTAAATCCACATATAGTAAAGCTTTCTATAAAGGGACAGCAAGTATTTCAGATTATGTGAGCCAGCCATATGGTCTGTCGTAACTACTCAACTCTGCTACTATAGTACAAAAGCAGTTAGAGACAGCACATAAACAAGCATGGCCATGTTCTAATAAAAGTTGACTTCAGCTATTTTCCTCTGGGAGAAACGTCAGTAAAGCTGCCAGGATGACATCATGAGCTATAAGAGAATGTTAAAAAGTTTGGGCCATGTTCACACATCTTCTCTCCCCACGTTCTAATAAACTTCATTTACCATGGACTCATTCATTCCAAGTTGCCACACTTGGCAATATGAGAAAGGGACACATTATATTAGAAAGAAAATCCCTTCACTGCCAAGAAGGTCTGGGATTATATTCCTAACACCTGGTTCACAACAGGTATGAACAAATGTTTGCTAACAGAATAAAACCCAATTTTACTCCCAGCTTTTAAAACATGGCATTTACTAGGGTTTAGTTGTAGCTGTTAGGTGCTGCTAAATTGACAATAACTCACTCTACAAACAACACATCGAAACCTTGCTCAAGCCTATGCCTCTCAATCTCTGATATACTGGAGCTAACTTTGGGGCTTTGTACTGAATTAACCAAAGAATTTGGTCAGAAGTACAAAATGAAAATCAGGGACTCAAAATGAAAACTGTTGTTAGGTGCCGTCAAGTCAACGACAACTCAGAGCAATCCTGTGAACAACAGATCTGAACCCTGTTCTATCCTGTGCCATTTTCATACTTCCTGACAAACAAGAGCCCATTGTGGCAGTCACCGTGTCAATCCACCTGGTTGAGGGTCTTCCTTTCCTTCATTGACCCTCCACCCTTTTAAGTATCATGTCTCTAAGGAATAGCCCCTTCTAGCAACATACCTAAAGTATGTGAGGTGAAGCCTCAAAGAGTCAAAAGTAAATACTTCTTCCATCCTCCATGTTCATTCTCTAGCAATATAAGACTAAGTTCACCATCACATGTTAACAATAGGCTTATACTACCACCCCAAAGAAAGAGGAACGCTTTGGATAAGGGGCCAGATGTAGAAAAATGATGGAATGTAAGCAGTTAGGAAAGAGTTCTCTTATAAGAAAGGAGCTGTTACAATCCAAGGCAAAGTCTATGCCTAGTCCCACAAATAAACTCACTATGGAAAGTTGCTAGAGTCTAACAAAAACACTAGAGATCATCTCCCTAAGTATCAAGTTTGGGTGGACCATCCATAAATTGACAGGCTATTTGCTAGGCTGAGAGTGTTCCTACTATGGAAACAAAGTTTGTTCTGAAGGGAAAAAAGGTAGGTAGGTAGTTATGTGTTTTTTGTCTGTGCCCAACTCTCAATGTTAGCTGAGAGGTCAGAAAACACTAGCTTTTCTGTTCATAAATATGGCTAGTGTACCATAATACACTTTAAAAATGCAATTATAAATAGCTCTGGGGTAGAATGAACTCAAAGAGTCCAAGCCTCAACTAATACAAAGGATTTCTTGCTTCTGTAAGATCTTAAGTACTTGCAAACTATTAAGAATCTTAGGTTCATCTCAAGAAAGAAGTTGGGCATTCTATTCCTGTGTGGAAGACTAAGCTATACCAGGGATACCTGCCCTCTGAGCCAAGGAGATCAAATTTTAAAAGGCACAAAGATGACAAGAGGAGCCAACTATGTGGGCCAAAAAAGGCCTCAAAAGCCACTTGTTAAGCTCTGGAGTCTGTAACAGAAACCACAACCCAATTCTCTGTTTTAGGGACCAGTAGGTTCCCTCACACATTTCTTTAACAGTTTCCAGTCCTAATCAAGCTTCCAGCCTCTATGAATAATAGTTTCTTGATTTGGGGGGAGGGAAGGAATATCAGTGTTATCTTGGAACAGAAATGGAATTGAGTCCATCCATAAGACAAAAAAAGGTGGCTTTAAAAAAATTAAATGCTTTGCTTTTATCTCTAATCATACAAATAAAACATGAATATCCTCATGATAAAAAAACATTTCCAAAACCAAAGGTAATTCCAAAGTCTCCTATGGCTTTCTGCTACCCTCAATTAGAGGAAACTTAAAATTTGTTATATATCCTTGCAGATGTGAGGAACTGAAAAAGAAAGAAAGAACCAAACAAGTCATTAACAACAAAAAACCCCTAAACTGAAAGGGGCTGAGGATGTTCCTTAACAGAAACAGGATTCACCATTAATCTACAAGGCCAATGTCTATAATCCAGCTGAAGGATCCCAAGAGTGTAAAGAAAACCCTTGCAGCTCTTGGGGCTGGGCTTTCTGGATCCTGGAGGCAAGTGCAATTGGTAAAACAGTGTCCTCCTTCATGGAAACACTGTGAGGAGCTGCCAATGCTGTGGAAGTGTCCTAAGCTCCTTGGAGAGTAAGTATAAGCTAAAGCAACTATAGGAAATAGTAGTCCTAACATGGGCTGGAATGCCTGGGTATAGAATACTGAGGAAGGTGTAGCATTACTTTTCTCAAACTTCTGGTTTGAGGCCAGTCTCTCAAGCTGTAATTTCTATCTGATGGTGGTTGGTCAGTGTAGGGGAGGATTGCTTAAAAAAACTTTTTTAGGAACCAAAAGTTAGCAAAGGAAGGATCAGATTATCTACCATTAACAACAGCTACCTACTATGTGTCAGGCATTTTAAAGAGCTATCTTATTTCATTTTCTATAACTTTTGGAGGTAGATACTACTAGTATAATTTTAAATATAAGGAAGCTGATCTTCATAGACAAGGATATACATAAAACACACCTAGCAAGTGGTAGAAACTAGATTTGAGCCCAGTTTCGTGAGTCTCCAAAGCCTATGTTATCACTTCACTATGATACTACACAAACTGAGGAAAAAGCACCACAGGAGACCACGATCAAGGTGAATATCACTTTTTCACTTGTACAATGAGAGGAGTGGACAAATCTGAATATGTATGTCATTGAGACAAGAAACTCCATGAGATCCATATAGTTAGGGTAAGATGCACAGCAGCAACTCCTTGGAATGAGAAATCTGAATATACAAAAGCAGTATCAAGATATTAATCATGATAAATGCTTTTTATAAAGAATGGGAAGAAAGGGAAAGGCAGAAGTCTCAAAAAAAAAAAATCAACAGGACACAGGAACCTGACCTAGTCCAGCATTAACTTGGTCTAGATGGTCCCTCTATCTATACAAACAGGTAATACTCTGAACTGTCTTTTTCACTACAAAGGATATACTTGTTTTCTACTTTACATAAAGCCAGTTTTTCTGGTCTATTCCACAAAAAGCTGGATGTCTAGATGTTGAGTCAAACGTCCATGAATCTAACAAGTTTAATCTGTTACAACACACTATTTTTTGCTGGTGTTCACTTTGGTAACTCAGGACTCTCAGGTTCTCAGTTCTACCAAAAGGGTCCACCTGATCGGTATCTTCTGGAAGGACTACTGTAGTATTGTAATAATTGCCCTTAAGTGGGAAGATCTCTTTTAATGGGTTCACTTTCCTCCAGGAATAATTCTGTTGATAGATAGGAGGTGAGATTAGCTCATTCAGTGCCCTGCCAGTTCCAAGGAAGCAGCAGGGCCAGAGAGAATTTCCTCACGTGTTTCCAACGTGTTTCATGCATTTTATTGCTCATCAACCATGCAGATCAAAAGCACTGGAGCAGGTCCAACTATTTCACACATAATCTCACACTCCAGGCTGGCTACAGCCCTAAAAGCCTTCGTTTCTTCACTTGAAATACTGCCCAATGTTATTTAGGGATGTGACCTGATAGAGGAAGCCCATAGGGACTCTATGACGATAACTGTTCCAGCTGTGACTGGCTGCCCAGTCCCAGTGAACGCCAGCATGGGTTTGTCAAGTGATGCTGACAAACAGGACTCAGTAACTAACACCTACTCTTCACACTACAACAAAACCATGCCTGAAATCACACAACCCATACCTCATTTTAGGAGAAGAGGATGGGGAAGGGGGAGGCTGCATGTGCTTTTAAAGGAAGGGTAACAAGTTTTAACATGAATTGGCTGCCTGGTGGAATACATTTTCGAAAAGAAGATAACAGAACAGTTGGGGGGATATGGTGCTCAAATGATCTCCTGACAGAGCCTTGAAAGGATGACAGTTCATTTTGCTGAGCAGATTTAAGAAAACCACCTGGCAAATCTAAAGAGGTGGCTCATGGCAATATTCAGATTTAGGATTTTCCCTTAAATTTGGCTGAATCTTTAAGACATGGAGCTTTCATTAACCCCCCAGATGGAGTTCTCACATTCTTTCAGTGTTAAAAGCCTTTGCAGATTTGTGCTTATTACTGGCAGGCAAACCACCCACCAAGAGAGCTAGGTAAATTTTATACTCATCCTTGTAGTAAGAGTTTGCTTGACATTTTTTGTTTTGTTTTGGTGGGGTGTTCTCAGCCATACCCATTTAAATTACAATCATAGAATGAAGAAAGTCCAAATACATAACCTGAAATGATCAAAACTGTACAAATAACTGACCAAGTTGTTACCCCACTCTACCCAGTAGAGTCTAAATGATCCCAAGTCAGGGTAGGAGGCTGTTTTCATGCTGGAGAATGGAACAAAAGGTAGCGAAAGAAGCAACAGCTTCAACAAACGCGCGCACGCGTGTGTGTGTGTGTGTGTGTGAGTGAGAGAGAGAGAGAGAAAGAGAAGATGACACCCCCCCCATGACAAACCTGTTTAGGAATTAGTTATAGCAAAGAGAAGTGCCTAGTCTTTCTTAAAACCTTAAGTAACATATTTAGAGATAACAGTAGGTTGTAAGAGGCTACCTCTAGGGAACACTTGTAGAAACATTCCAGTTATAGGTCCTCTTCCCTCTCTCCAGTTTT